GTATGATTAAAAGACCCTCATGTAGGAATTGTACTCCAGTCAGTGGGGTACTGAGGATACATGTTAGTTATTTGCCCTGTTTGTTAAGACACTTTGTATTGCTGTTTTCTAGTGCAGTAATTGACTGCCTAGCTGCAGGATCCGCTGCTTACACTGCCACATTAGTTTCAGTTTTCATCAAGTATCATCATTACTTTGCAAGAGTACAGACACACATGTGTTTTAATGATGGAAAGAATTAAGGCCACACTGTTAAATTCCAGTACTCTATATTGATGGGCTGAAATGGACCCCCTCCAACTTTCCTAAATAGTGGGTTCGTGCTGGCTGTCACTCCAGGGCTCTGCATCCCTGGGTCCCTCATCATCTCAAGAGAAGCCTGACCACTAAGGTGGGCAGGCCCACTCCCTTCTTCCTTAGCACACTGTCCCCAGCACCCCACTTCCCACAGTTTACATGTTAGGAGAGGGGCCACGTCTATTTGCTTCTTTACCTTTTCTCTAACACAGTAGATGCTCAGTAGAGAATGGTCTTGCTCATTTGTGTGGACATCTAGGGCAAGACGAAGGGTTTGTGGCACAGTCCCAGCTGGGTGGGAGCAGCCGAGAGCTCACATGGCTGCTGTCAGGGAGATGGAAGCTCTGAAGCCTGCACCTCTCGGGACTTCACCTATCTCTCTTCCTGCACTCACGAGGCTCCTGGAATCAGGGTGAGAAGGTCATGATGACTTGTCTTTGTTGACAAGTGCAGGAGGTTAGGGGAGGGCCACCTGACTGGGCTGTACTCAGGAGTCCTCACTATACGAGTAGATGTCCTGTGGTATGTGGAAGGGGCTGTTCCTACAGAATGACTTCCTGTCAGAAATCTCCACCTACCACCAAGTATCAAAGGGTTTGCTCTGTTCCTTTTTAGGTCCTGCTCTCTGTAAATCCACCTATGGGGCGGGTCATGTTATTAAGTGCCACAGGCACTGCCTGCTGGAGTCTGGCACCCAGCTGGCAAATGTCTGAGTGATTTCCAAGTGTTGGGTTTGGGGAGTACAGAGGTGGCACTCGCCCTCACTGAGTTCATGTTGCAGAGGAAGGCAAGCCCCACAAAATCTGTAAACAAAATAATTGTGAGCTGTAGAATTATCATGATGCAAATCAGATGGGACTGGGAAGAGTTACTGGGTTCTGATTTACCCTGTGGCTGGAGGAAGGTGTCCGCTGTGTTGAGAGGAAGTAGCCAGAGTAATACCCAAGGAAGATGTGTCCAAGAAAGGACACTGCACAATTCTGAGATGATGAGGGACAGAGCAGCTGAGCAGCATGCTTGGGACATGGGCAAGCTATGTGGTGACAGGTCAGCAAGGCTGAGCAGTATGTAAGCATTGTCCACACGCACCCAGCAGCCACTGAGCCCACAGTGGAGTAGCACATGGCCGTGACAGGAACGATGTGTGGATGAGGCTGTGACATAGAAACCTGGACAACAGGTTACTCAGTGAAAAGCCAGACCCAAAAAGTTACAAATTATATGACTCTGCTTACGTGAACTGTGTGTGCCAGCCAGATCCTGAGACAGAAGACAGATGGGCAGTTGCCAGAGAAAGGGCCTGGGGTGCGAGTGGGTTTGGGGTGTCCCTTTCGGGTGATGAAAATGCTTTTGGAATGATATCAAGGTGATGGTTGTACAGCGTTGTGAACGGAACTAAATGCCACTTTGAAACCATACTACGTTGTGTGCTTAAAAGTAGTTTCTATTGGGCAAATTCTATCACAGTTTAGGAAGATACATCAGTAGGTCTGACTTGGCTGGTTAAGTGGAAGGCACTCAGTGGAGTGGGAGGCAGTTGTGTAGGGTTATGTATAGTACCAGGGAACTGACCCGTTTTACCTGCTCCTGTGGAAGGAGCCGCTTCCCCTCCTCCCCTGGTCTATTCCCTGGACTGGTGCTGCCAGAGGTGAATAGGGGACAGTGTCCACCCCAGGGAGCCACACCTGGCTGCGCCAGAGCAACTTAGCGATGACTGAGCGGGCGTAGCTCTTCCTGTGAATGACACCCTGGTCCTTAATTGGCACCCGTTGCCCCCACCCCACCTCAGCACCCACCCTGTGGTCCTTTCTTGCAGGTCTGATGTTTGCTCTTACGGAGACTTTTTACCTCTCCACAGGTGCCAACCTCATGATTTCAAGGCAAAGCCAGAAGCCTTCCCCAGCCCCCAAATTTTCTCTCACATTTGTTAGTAGTACATCTTAGTTTTGCAGATTAATGAGTTGCATTCTGGCAGATTTGTACATGCAGATAACACACAACACTTTTTTCATTTCTCCCCCAATACCCTTCTTGCCCCTCCTTGCCTCTCATCTTCACATTTGGGGTACAATGTGTATAGTGAATTTTGATCATGGTACCTGCCCTAAGCACCGTCTTCTCCCCCCTTCTCCCCTTCTTTCTCTTGTCTAATAATAGTTTGCCATGACTTTATTATTTTTTTAGATCTAAGCCCCACATTTTATGGATAACTGAAGTGTTTCCTATAATAACTCTATGGCTGACCCATCTTGTGTCAGTGCCCCTTTATTGGTAAAGGCCACCAGGTTACTGGGGTGTTACCAGCTGTCCCCAGTCGACCCCCAACCTTGGATGTTTCACCAGCCTGTCCAAGAGACCACAAGCCTTTTTAATTGCTCCTGACAGCATGCAGCTGCAGTCCTATGGCGCACTATCCCTTGATCCTGAGAATATGATGGGAATTGAGGTACAGTTCTTACCCTCCCTAAGCTCATGGTCTTTTGGGGATTAGGAGCTTCCTTAGCTCTGTTTCTGTGACTCTCTGTATTTATGGAGAAATTGTGTTTTCTCTAGGACTGAGAAATTAACCTTTAGTATACTCTGCTTGCTTTCTCCTTGACTTGGAACTTTGGTGTTTCTTTGCACTTTCTAGAACCATCCAGAACTTTCTATGCATGAGGTGCTGTGAGATATGCTTTCTCACCATGAGGCACAAACTGTTAATTGTCCTTCTGGAGATGTAAAAGGCAGAGGTCTAGGGACTGAGGCAGCCTGTCCACATGGATGTCACAGTTGATGCACAGCAGAGCTCTTAGTCTAGCTGAACAGCTAGCTACCTCTGACCTCTGATCTCTGACTTGAGTGCAGAACTTGGGTCTCTGTGCCGCAGTGGTGTT